TCTTTCCCTGCAAGAGACAGAATACTAGTAAGTCAACGTTCCTGTTTTCCTACTGGTTCATATACCAGCTTTTCCAATGACTTCTGCAAAGTTTTTTTACTCTTCGGCCACTGTATTGTGTACTGTTACCTAAAAATTATAAGTAGCAGACCAGTAACAAAGCAACATTGATTTTGTAATTCAGGTCTCGCTAATCAACTAGAATTCTGTAAATATCTCCAAAAAAAAACTTTATTACTACATCAGGTAGGTTATTTCCAGTGGTGAGTTCATTTTACCCCAGAAATGGTTCTTCAGTACAAGCGATCTGTATATTCTTCTTTTTATTTCATTAACTCACAAACGTCATACAGTAGCTCCATGATCCAAGGAGAACTGTTCATAAGCAAATATGACTTTCGCACTAAGACAGAACAACTATCCTGTTACAATCACACTGTGATGTAATGAAAGTTGATCATATTTAAGCTATATTTGATGGACAAATGTCAATTCTGCCCTTGGATTTCCTCCTGTGAAGGTGATACCACCCAACTCAGCAGTCACATGTGCACCACTGCACAATGAGACATAGGGAGGACAACAAGCATGCTGGACTGTAGGTGAGCTTCTCCATAATTTCACTGTAGGCTTGAGGCCAACTTCTCATGCTAAAAGGAAGGAGAGACAGCATTGCCTAATTTTAGCCTAAGCCTGTAATACATAGCTGCTAAAATTGCAGTAGCAGCAAACTAAGCCTGTGTAGACCACAAGGAAATCCAGCTGTAAGACGTGTGGCCGGTTAATTAACAATGTCAAGATGCAACTTAGCTATAGCCAGGCCCCATATAAAGGGGCAAATAATTTTAATTGTTAAAATGTCCTTTCTAACAAATGAAACTATTCCAAAGGCACCAAGAAATTCATTGAAGTTTGTAGAAAGTTCCAGCACGGGTTTGCAATCCAAAATCCTTTAATGTTAATGGGAAGATGATTTTCAATAACTATAATGGACTTTATCATATCTTTATTTTTCCATGGAAACAACAGAGGGAAAACAACTTCAGCTGTGAACGTTATCTTCTCATAAGTGTATGTATCTGTGGAAATTACTAACATTTTTCTTATCAGCATGACCACCTATACAACCAGTGTCCCACTGTTGCCCTGCACAAGTACTGAACAAAAGTGGTCTTCCCACATCTTGCAAGCCAGACTCTTTTTGTTGTTGTTATTGGTATTTCAACACAACGTTCTCACTGACCAGAAGAATCCCTTCTGTCTTGTCCATTATGCTAGGAGGCAAGAAAAACACCACCACAAGAAGACTGCACCTATTTACCAAGTACCCATTCCAACTGAGATATTTGATTCACAGCTAGTAAATTCCTGGTGAATGGTACAGTTTGCCAGATGTAAATCACTTCATATAATGTACAAATTCATAAAAATTCAAATATAATAATTTCCCAGGTAAGGCAAGAGGTGATTCACCTTTCCCCTGCTTCTTAGCTTAGACAGGACTCTATCATAGCTTGTTAGCAATAGGATTTGGCATGGAGGAATTTTCTAAAAATCTTTTTAAATTTGCCCCTGTACATAGGCAAATCCCATACGCAAAAACCTTCCGAAAAAGCATCTCCCGGAAAAGCAAATAAACACAATTACAAATGAAAAAACGTGTGTCTGTAAATCAAGCACAAGGGTATTTTTCACATAGCCAAAGTAACGATAGCTGACACTGCTCTGAAATATACAGGCATAAATCTCTCTTGGGGAATTACGTTTGAACTGGAACTTGGGGAAAACATTATGCTTTCTAAGAACAACTTCACAACAAGGAATACAAGGTACAGAGCATACTCTTATATTATAGGTAGATATAAAAAGAAAATTGATGTTTACAGCTGCAGCATTAAGTCAACTTTATAATTAGATCCTCTCAGCTGGTATAAGTCAGTCCACTCATTCAAACTGGAACAAGCCCTGGCTCTTGGTACAAGCTAAGGATCTGATACAACTATTTCAAACTACATGGTTATTGGAATATACTGAATAAGATTATGTGAATTCAGCTTACTGACACTTTAAGTAAATGATACTTCAGG